TCTCTTTCCAGAGGTTTCCTTTGCTTCCTTAGAGGAACATTTGAACTGGTTTCTGCCTTTGGTTCATTGGCAGCCTCCCTCTCAGCTTTTCGTCGCCTCTGGTATCTCCTCCATTGAGATTGAGACATGGGATTTTTCCCTTTGTAGTTGCTTGACACCTGTGTAACTTTAGGGGCAGCAACTTGAGGCTCTTTCTTTTGTGTTAAAGATGAACCCTTTGGCACATCGAAAGAGTGCCATTTCTCCTCGCTTGGCCTCTTTCGACCAGATGTCTTGTACCAGGTATCTACCGGCACATTAGTTGGAGGCCTGAAAGTCAATGGCCTCTTTCCTTGGTTTGAACCTCTTTGGGAGGCTCTTCTGGGGTCATGTCGAAGACCAACATTTTCCCTTCTCTTGTTTGCTGCTCTTACGCCTTGAATATGTTCAGCAGCTTTTTTGTCAAAGATCGAACTGCATCTTGGACACAACATCACTTCTGACTTCTTCTTCTGGCATCTTTGCAGGAAATCTGCCAGATTTTCATTCTCCCGAGGGAAAGCAGTCTTGTTAGGTTGTTCTTGCCTCATGGCCTCCTCTGATGCTTTTGGGTCAGAGACTTCGACCATGTTGACATTCATGGTATCTTTGTTGGCAAGAGTCAACTGCTTCATTTGAATCTCCAAAACCTCTGTCTGGCCTTGAACTGTGGCCAAGTGAGAACTGGGTTTTGGTCCAGTTTTTTGGGCTCCAACTGTCTCCAGCTTTGGGCTTTCGACCGCTTTCTGAACCGCTTCAATTGTCTTTCTGGATAAATTCCCAAAAAAACTGCCAAAGATTGGCATGTTGATATGGTCCTTTGAGACTTCGACCATTGTGATTCCTGGCCTCTTCGACTGGCTTCTGGATGCCTCAATCACGTTCACCTCTGAAGGTTCAGCATAGTGGGCTTCAGCCTGCAACGGATTAGAGTCCACAGCCATGGGGGTCTTGTCAGCAAACTTCAACCTCCCTTCTTCGATAGCGTCTTGCACAAGATTCCTGAAAAGAAAACATTGAGACGTTTTATGGCCCAGAAAATTATGATATTTACAAAAGCCTCTCTTCTTTCTTTGATCAAGAGGAGGCACTTTTACCCCTGGGGGTATTATCATTTGGCCATCTTTTACAAGCAAGTCAAAGATCTCATCACATTTTGTAATATCAAAACTATAAGTCTTTTTGGGGAACCTATCGTTGGTCCTTTCTGGACCAGTGGGATTTTCCCACTTGAGGGGACTAACAGTTTGCAAGAGTATGGTGGCCCTTGTTTTAGTTCCGCTAAATCGACTTCTCCTTCTTCGACAGTTATAGTATCGTTGAAGGATTCTGGATCTTCGTCATCCATCTCAACATACGCTATCCTCTCTCTCTCTTATGAGTTTTCGTTGCCTTTGCCTTTTCAGCTTTGAGGCGTTCTACCTGTCGAACTCTATCGGCCAGTTGGGCCATGTCTCTCAGGTATTGCGTGTCTAACTTCTTCCTAATGGAATAATCTAAACCGCCTGCGGCTATTTCGACTAACTCATGTTCCGGCACTTGTGTAAAACATTTTGCTTTGAGCAACCTAAACCTATTTAGATATTCGTCTATAGGTTCAGTGAAACGTCTCTTTACACTGGCCAATTCTTTTAGGCTTATCTTGGTTTGCCCCATGTAGAATTGTTCATGGAACAATCTTTCCAACTGGGTCCAATGATGGATCGAATTGGGGGGAAGAGTTGTAAACCAAGTAAAAGCATTCTTTGTTAAAGAACTTGGAAAGTACTTAATCCTCAGGTTTTCGTTGTTCGAAATATCTCCTGCTTCGATCAAGTATCTCGCCACATGTTCGACAGTAGATTCTGTCGTGTCCCCAGAGAACTTAGTGAATTTAGGGACTTTACATCTAGGAGGTAAGTCTGTTTGTAACACGTATTCTGACAACGGGGATGTAAAGTTGGGCCTTCGAAAGCCCATGTTCATCCCATTTTGAGTCATGATCCTTTCGATCATGGTTGCCATATTATTTTCCAGACCCATGTTTTGGTATTGGATATGCTGAACTACTTCGTCAGCATTTTGGTTTCTGTTAACTAACCTTACCTCTGGGGTTATTACCCTAGGTTCCTCGACAGGTTTCTCCAATCGTGCCCTAAGGTTTTCTTCGACAGACTGTTGGACCTGGTTGATAGTGGTTTCTTCCTCTAAGAATACACCCTGGTTTCCCCTTATTTGCGCCCTTTGGGGCTGTCGAATAGGTTGGGGTACTCCAAAGAAGTCAGCCAAACGCGTCATTTGCGCTGTCATCTGCTGATTCGATTGAGTAGTGTTTTGTATTAGAGGGTTCAGCACTGTACTTAAAGTTTGTGCCAACATTTGAACCATATCATGGTTGCTTTCGTCCATTTGTTGCCTCAAGACTGCTGTCGAGGCATTTGTAAGGCCATGTGCTACTTGGGACGTTCCTCCTAAGAGTTGGGTCCTATTCCTATTCGCCATACCTACTCCAGAACCTTGGAGTGGCGAAGAGGCACTCACTAAAGGGTCTGAAAAAGTGGACGCAGCATTCGTCAGGCTAGCCAAGTCAGAAGTTGGCATGCCATAGAGTGGTTCTCGATTATGACCGCCTGTCATAAATCCTGGGGGAACATAAGGCCTTGTGCCTAAATTTCCCCTTGGTGGGGGAGTTCCCAAAGGCACTATGGGGCCTGTGAACGGAGGTAATGGCCCCGTTGTTGTGACCGTTACTGCTGGTGTTGAACCAGCGGTTATCGCTTCACTTACGGTCGGGATAACCGTTGCTCCCACATTTGTTTGTGGGATTTCGTTATTGTTTGGCGGATTCGCCATCTCTTCCCTTCTTCTGGCAGTATTGGTATCATTAGTGTATATTCTACCACTTCTCAATAACATGCAACACTCCTCGAAAAAGATGAGATTACGTTAAAAAGGTTAAACTTCAAAAATCAACACACGGTCCCACCGGGTGTGCCAATTTGTTTACCGTGGTTATTGGTAAACAACTGCTGATCCTCCAAATGGTTACTTATTTGGTTACTCGCAGGATCGATCAGATTGATCCTAAGACATGGTTGATTTTGAGGTTTTGATTAAATTGGATAATGGTTAAATGGCAAGAAAATAAAGAGGCTTTAAGTAAATTGCATGAAGAAATGGGCTTGATAAAATAAATGAAGGCTTGAAATAAAGGGCTTCGACAGGAAAAGTAAAGAAGAAAGCAAGTAAAGTTTCTGGAAAAGTAAATGACTTTGATTAATAAAAGTGGTGTTTCACACATACATTCTCAACAATTCTTTCTCACACGCTGGGTACTCGAATCTATATGAGTGACTTTGTATATAATTGTGAACACACGCGAAAAACTGCGTGACCTACTACTATTTATACTAAAACATCCCAAGTAACCGTCGGACAGTTACACTGCTTCGAGATGACTCCACTTGGCACGTTCTCAGCGTTCGACGCTCCAGATCTTTGCACGTTGCACTTGGTAACCGCTGGAAACCGTTTTCCCTCCAAACGCTTGAATTTCAAACCGTTCCACTCTGAACCATCGAACACCTTCGTCGAGAAGCATCTTCGACGAGAAACACCTTCGACGTCGAAGGCAACCAACTTCTCCCTTGGAAGAAATCCTCTAAGTACATTGCCATCTTTCGATGGGCATTTCGACAGACCCAGCTGGTCGAAAACATCCTTCAGCTTTAATGGCTGATATTAATAAAACAAAGGTGTCGAATTTAGGAGCCAACAATAAGACAACATCATTCAAAGACAATTTTCCTTTTTGCATTGTGTATTCATATTTCATGTGTAACAAAAAATTTATTTGTATAGTTATTCTAATACTATTACTTTTTTATGATGATTGTTCATTACACAGTTAAGTTTATCAATTCATATTTACAAAATTGTTGGTAAATAAATTGTATTGTGAAGTTCCTTAAGAAATTAAATTTTTAAGTAATAAAGATACTATTTGAATTTGAAATTTATTCTTATCAATTTAGAATGTATTTTAATCTTTATGTAAATTAAAACAATATTAAATTACTCAATTGGTTTTAATAAATTATATTAAATATTTATTTTAAATTTGAAATTATTATTTAATAATATTTAATTATATAATTAAATTTGTTTTTTAATATTTTAAATATATATAACGGTTTTTGTCATTTTATTAATCATGAGTTACCATTTTAAAATTCATTTTAAAAAAATAAATAAATTTTAGAATTTTTTAACAAAATTTGATTAACATTAAAGACTTAATACCTTTTTGGACAAGTATATTAATCTAACAGTTCTTTTTATTTCTCAATTTAACTACGGTACCTTTCTCATTCTAATGAAGATCCTTCTAGGTATAGATTCATCGATAGATGTGAACGTATCTATGAGATATCAGCTGTAGACTGTTAATTTTAATGTCCATCTTTGAAATCTTTCTTTTGCTGCTATTTTATATAATTGTATTTATATAATCAATTGTACCGTTTATTATAAGTATGAATCAATGTTTAAAAGTTGATGCATATTATTACTCTATATTTGAAACTATGTAAATGTTAACTAACTGAATAAATAAAGATAAATTTTATAAGTGATGGTCTTATAAACGTATAATATGAATACAGACAGAACCCGTACGATAGCACGAGTTTCTTACTAATATATAAATAATAAAAATACTCGTCATTTACTAATTTGGTAATATTGGTCAGTGACAATTAAGTTTTAAGGGCGTTTTCTTTAATTCATTTCAATGTAATAATATGCATGGGAGACAATCTTTAGTCCTTCCAATTAATTGCTTAACAAAATAATTAATGCAACAATTTATTAAGCCAACAACAATGAAGGAGAGACACATTACTACACACATACAACATATTAATTAGAAAATGGTTCCATCATTCAACCACATTATTTTAATAAAATAAACTAGCTCGTGCTTCATGAAAGACATTGAACTTCTATGCAAGTTGTTGAATATAGTCATCCACCTCAAGGAAATTCTTGACTGCAAAATCTCTGACAATAGTTGGATCTGGAATATCAGTGTTAGTTTTGACATATTCAGCTGTCCATTTGAGCTCACATCCTTCTCCAATTGGTATAACAGCTATGTGTCCCAAGAATTTGGTGTAGTACTGTAGAAGATCCCCTTCAACAATAGAATAGGTTGCTGTCTTCTTTTCATCATCAGCAGCCTCAATCCTCTCTTTCGAAGACTTGGCGAGTAGTGAGCCTACAACATAAACCACCAAAAATGACAAGATATAAAATCTGAAGCATGAATAAATATAATCATACCTTGGGCGTAATGGAAATAAATATAATCATTGTCGTAAGTTTTACCTTCGGCGTAATGGAAATGGCGGACAGAACCAGGAGCTTTACCATCTCCTTCCAGGACATCGATGCTTTTGTAGTCATGTGGGAAGGCCTTAGGGAATATAGTTGTTGAATCCCTTATGGTTTGCCAGTACTTGTCTGCATTTGACTTGAGTTCAATGTCAACCTCTAGCTTCCCACGAAGAGCCATGATTCAACAAGCTATGACAATGTGAGACAATGCTCAAACCATGCATGCTATATATACAGACATCGAACAAGTAACTGCATTTTACACATGTTATTCAAGACAGAGATCATAAATTCAGTAGTTCAGACTTCAGCTACCACTTTTACTGGCATCGCCTAACTTTTCAGGTGAATTTAGTTATAACAATAAATGGAACCGACATCAATGTAGCAAAATGAAATAAATGAGTTATCACAACGGTGTCGGTGATACCAGTAAGGCTTCATTAATCACTATCAAATGTTGCATAGTGATAGTACTCATAATTGAGAAGGTGCATCAATAATAACGAAACCAACTTCATTGATCCTAGTAAAAGAGTTATTTTACTTTTTACCTTAATAACTCTACGATTAATCAAATACCAAAAAAGACAAAAAAACAAATTAGTGTTTTTTAATTATTAACTTAAGTTACATATAAGAATAGTCTTTAAAATGTTAATTGTCGAGGTTAATTCAGTAGTTGAGAGTTCAGCTACCACTTTTCAGGTGAATTTAGTTATAACAATAAATGGAACCGACATCAATGTAGCAAAATGAAATAAATATGCTCTTTCTACTTCATCAAAATATCTATGATTTCTACTTCATTAATATAGAAACAATATAAGAATAATAAATTTAAATTAAAATTAAGCAAGACACAACAATTATTAAAATAATAATTACTGCAACAAACAACACATAAGCAAAATTAAGGAAGCACAAAATCTTGCCAAAAGGAGAAAATAAGAAAACTTAAGAAAATCTAAAAGCACAAATACCAAAACAATCCCTAAAAACAATTTTCTTTAAAGAAATGTAAAGTCTTTCACCATAAAAAAACTTCACTACTCGTCTTTTGAAAGCTTGACGAGTGCAAAGTAGAGCTTGTGGTTGCGTCTGAAAGACCAAAGTTGCACCAACACCTTTTGGTCTTTTTTCCATTTGTTATCTTCTACAAGTTCGTTCCATCCATCTGTGATATTGTAGACTTCAGCGGTCTCCATTTTCCACTTCTTTAAGCACATTTCATCCCAAAGGTTAAGATCATGATCCAACAGAGATACATAAATATCAGCAATCTTCTCTTGTTTATTACGCTCGTAATCCAAGTACGATTCCTCCGCTGGTGTTAGAAAACTCTCGTTAATCTTTCCTTTTGGGATGGAGAGACGACCATTGGTTTGGGTCACATCACTGTTGGTTACTTCCTTCTCGATCACGAACTTCACCTCATCGCCTCCCATTTGTTCAATCTTTTCTTTAAATGCCAACGGGAGTTCCGCTTTGTTGCTGGTTTTCTTCTTTACTTTCTTTGATGGCTTGTTTGATCTTTCCCTATTTGCCTTTGTTTTCTTGTTCTTCCTCTTGCAATTCTTGTCGTTTAAAGGTTCTTCTAAAATTCTAGAAGCAAAATCGCAATTCTCCACAAGCTTCAAACTGATGAAAATTCTATCAAAGTGTATGTTACTAGATATATTTATTTATTTATTTCTTTGGTGTGCTAATTTATAGCGAAGCTGAGTTTAAGCTTCACTGTTTGTTTCGTATCTTCTTAGCGATAACAAATTAATTTCAAATTATCAAATCAAGTACAACATTGAAGGCCCCCCTTGTTCGAACAAGGAAGCTAGATATAAAGCTTTGATAGCAGACTTGAAGCTTTGTTGGAATTGGGGGCAACTAGAGTCGAAATAAGAGGTGATTCCAAACTGGTGATCAAACAAACAATCAAGGAGTACAAATGCATAAAAGAAAATTTGATAATGTACTTTGTGGTAGCAAATAGATTGCTTCGAAGATTTGAGTATGTTAATATCAAGCATATCCCTAGACTGAAGAATCGAAAAAACAATTACAACTAATTAGGGATCAGTCTGCACTGGCCGAAAGATCCCGAAATTTGCTAAAAAATGGGTTTCAAATTACTAACTTTTACGCCTTATTATGCCCAGGAGAATGGAAAAGTCGCAAATAAGGTAATTATTAGTTTGATAAAAATATATGTAGGAAGAAAGCCAAAAAATTGGCATAAGACCTTAGATCAAGCTTTGTGGGCTTGTCGAACATCTACAAAAGAAGCGACGAACACAACTCCATTTCGATTGACATTTGGGCATGATGGAGTTTTTCCAGTAGAAATATATTTACAGTCGGTGAGAATTCAGAGGCAGAACAAAATCCCCTCTAACTATTAGTGGGAAATGATGATGAGTGAATTAGTGGATTTGGACAAAGAGAGGCTACATGCTTTAGAGGTCTTGAGAAGGAAAAAAGAAAGAATAGCTAGAGCATACATTAAAAGAGTCAAAAGTAAAGTCTTTTCGAATGATGACTTGGTATGGAAGATAATATTACCAATTGATCGAAAGAATAAGTTGTTAGGAAAATTGTCTCCACATTGAGAAGGAACTTTTTGAATTATCCAAACATTCACAAATAACGCCTATGAAATAGAAGAATTGGCAGAGGATCAAAGAATCTAGAAGATAAATGGCAAGTACTTGAAAAACTATAAACTTATCATTCAAGAGTTAAAAATTACGACATGATAATATAAAGTAATGAATTAAAATCCAACATGGTGTCATTATAAAATGCCAAAATGGCTTTGTCTCGAAATTACATAATTAGGAAGTGCACAAAATGCAAAATGGAAATACACCAAAAGATTTCAGCAGATTTAAAAAAGTTAAGTTAGCTTTCATCCTATCATACTTAGTTTTCGCTAGTTTTAGCCTACCGTCAATAGAAGATTTAGCAACATGAAGAGCAGCTATTTCATCCTCTAATTTTTTGGTTGCATCCACGTGTTAAACACTTTGAGCAATATTATGCTCTATCTAGTATGATCCATCTGTTCGATGATTTTCTAGTTGCTTCCGTCTAAGAAACTTTTTCTTGCAACTCTTTAATCTACTCTTTCCAGAAGGAGATAGAGCGAACATTGGTATCAAACTCCTCTTTGGAATTTATGAAATCTTTGCCAAGTTTCTTAGCTTTATTGGTTGAGTCAAGAGCTTTCGATCACTCAGTTTCCTGAAGGGTTTGCTTTTCTTGGAGATTCAAATTCACATCTTGTTTCATAAGAAATTATGCACTGATTGTGTTGATCAAAGTAGTCATATCAATTAGAACTTCAGCAGTCTCAGAGGAAAAGTGACTATGTCAGTTTGGTTGATCAACTTCCTTAACCCAGCGCTCGCAGTGGCATTATTCTTTAAGACTTCGAACAGGTCAGTTTCAAAGACTTTTTCTTTGATTTTCTGGAGAAGTTTCTTGTTAGTTTTAGCACTAGAACTTCCACTCGATGTGGCAGATGGACTGTGGAATGTTTTTTGGGCAAGAGGTACCCTATTTTCCATCATTAGCCTTACGTACTCGAGAGGTTTCTTCATCTTAAAAGCCTTCAGTTCTTCTTGAGATAGTTGTGGTGAGACGTTGCTTGTAGTTTGTTGATTCATAGAGGAGGTGTTAAATTGGGAGCTAACTTGAACACGAGGTTATTTTTTTCTCCTTTAGTTTCTTCATCTTCTTCTCCTGCTTCATCTTCATGGAAATATTGTTCTATTTTGTCAGAAAGATAACCATCATCATAAAAAAGGTCATCGGCAAACTTAAACTTCCTCGGAGAAGAATCACTAGGGCTATCAACATCGTGCACTTCGTCATCACTAACCTTCTTGGTCCCACCTTGACGTACCTCTTGGTCATTCTTAGCCTGGGGATTTGACTCCTTTTCTGATGGTACAACAATATCAAGTTGATTAACTACAGTCGAAGATCCTTTGCTGAAATATTTGTCACTTGACAAGGGATGATATGAAGAAGTACCACTTTCAGGAGGAATGCCAGTCTTGATTGGGGACTCACTAGGAGTTAGTTGATTTTCTTGCACAACAAAAAAATAGTAGTTCGAATAAAAGAACAATGGTGGTCGAAGGAGAATAAATAATTGAAGTTATACCTTTAGTCCATCAAGACTTGAGTTTTCACTTTCGACCTGCTCCAGAATAAAGCCGCTAGATGGTTGGGATGTTCTTTTCTCTTTGGGCTTTACGGGCAGTATGGCGAGCTCAGGTTTCAGCTTGGATGGTTGCGAAGAGGATGCATCATAAGTGTTCTCCTTCATCTTCTTTATCTTTTTAGTCTGTAAAGGATTTGGAGGAGTGCCTTAACTGTCTTTAATTTCTACTGGAATGTCATGGGTGGCTTTTCTTTTGTATGGAGATTTCAGAGGCAAGTTAATAGCCTGAAAAGGTAATACTGTTAGAAAAGTAATATAATGCAAGAAGTAGATAAAATATCGAATAATTCCTTTGATATCTTCTATTCTTTTTGTATCTGGAGTAGCACTTTTTGTTGAAGTCTTGGTTTGTTTGGAAGCTTCAGTAGAACCTGTCTTCGAGATAAGTTGTTCCTTTTTGATGGTTTTCTTTTTTACGGCTAGAACATGTACATGATGATCGTGGTTAGTATCAGGTATAAAAGAAATACCTAAGGTAACCGAAAGGACCAGAGAAATCCTTTAGTTCCATACCTTCACCTATAGAATAAAGAATGAAGATAGCTGACAAGTCATAGTGAAGGAAGCCTATGAAATTGTCTAAGGTATGCTTAGGCGAAACCACTTGTTTGGCATGTTTTTTAGACTCTTATTTTAAAAAGTTAAGGTAATCCCCACAAACGAACCAGTTTGGGTAAGGAGGATAAAAATCCAAGCCAAAATTAGAGCTAGGAAGTTTTGGAAATTTTGGTGGTTGAGGTTTGAAGGCTAAGTCATATATATCCCCAGGATTAACACAAGCAGGGATGTTTAAATAAGGAAGCATTTTAGTAAATTTCTTTTTTAAAATTTGGGTTGCGTTGAAAGTGGTTCGACTACGGTTAGTTAGATCATAGACAATTTCAAAGTACTTCTGGAACGCCTGGATTTCCTTGATATGCGTGTGCTTACCTTTTTGGCTCAGATCTCGCATGGATGCAAAAGCTTTTGTCAGATGCTGGCCGAGAAAAATTGTGTCAAACATATTCTTCGAATAAAAATCTTTCCACCAAGTGTCGAAACCCTTTGAGCAGTAAAAGGATGGTTGAAAAGGAACGGGGTTGAGTTCTACAAAGTTAACATGATAATCCATATGTTTTTCCAAGTCTAGGAAAAATAACTTCATTCTTGATGTGCTAAGTTCACGTTTCCTTCCAAAGATAGGTTTAGGAATCAGTTGATAAAGGATGAATTATCGAAACACGAAATTTGGTTGGTAGAAAAGTAGGAAAATGTTGCTCTTCACGGGAATGATCCTTGAAACAATCAACCTAGGGAGTAAAATGGCTCTCCATATGTCAACTATGTCTGTATCTTCAAGTGAAATGTAGAAGAGGGATCTGGTGAACCACGCAGGACCATGAGTCCTATTGGCAAAAGGATCCATCAAAGGACTAAAGGGATGATGTTTAGAAAACATCATGACATACTTGGTAAATCACTCCCTAAAGTTCTTTGCATCATCATAAGGAGTCAGTTGGAACAATCTGGTTCCTTAAGCGGTTTGATTCTGAATGTCAGGATCTGTGTCATCTACTATTCCAGAAGTAGTGAGAGATGGTTCGAACATTGCATTGTGCCTCAATTAGAGAAGCCAATATGGGTTAGCCAACAATATGTTTGTGCCTATTTGCTACCCTTTCAGTTTGGAGGTGGCAGAATTAAGGCTTTCATATAACCCAGTGAGAATTAACTCACCAAGGCATACTCTTCGACCATAATGAAGTGGATTTGTTAAGGTGAGGAATCTTTTGGCAACTTGTAGGGATTTGCAGCAAAAGATACACCTATATAGCCAGTGAGAAAGAAAGTTATATGCTTAACATTAGATACTTTGTCTCCGTGTGCATGGTTAAGACTTATGTATTTAGTGAAGGCAACATTTTCGACTTTGAAGTCGATGGTGTTTTCTTCTTGTTGGTAAGGATCTAAAGTTTCTCCATTTGGTAGGAGTCCAGTAATGGAAGCCACGTCGAAGAAAGTGGGAGTTATCATTCAACAAAGAAGATGGAAACAACTATTAGTACTATCCCATAAATATAATTAATCCATCAACATAGGTTGACAATAGCTAAAACCTATTTTTGACATTTGAATCAAGTCGGAAATACCTAACTCTTTCCATACTTGGGATTTTTTTCTTTTTGACGTTGGATAACCAAACAACATATTGTTTATCTGCTACAGGATAATTCCTAAAAG